ACTTATCAATTGTGCCGAAATTTAATAAATATTTTATAATAATTTGGCAGTACATTGCCAGTGAATATTTCTTCTTACATATATGTTGTGTACTTCGATTGCAATTTAATCTTTTCAGACCCGACATTTTTTTAGATATTGAAAAAATTATTTAACACTTTTTGGGGCCATTTGGGACTCATTTTACCCTGTCATATTAATATTTTAGTGTATGGACTTTTCATTTTTTAAAATTATGGCTACAATTGTGTGCAAACTCAGAAATTCTTCGTTAGTGTTCTTGCATTAAAATTTAATTTTGAAGACATTGTATTTTGAAACAAGCAACTCTGATGTTAATGTTATTGTTTTTCCCACTTTAAATGCTGTATTGAAGTTTCGATAGTTTCAAACCATTAAACTATATGTATGTACAAACGTTTTAAACCATATGTATCAAAGCGAAACTGAAAAAAAAAATTTATAATATTTACGTATATGATATACCTCCCGTCCTTTGTGAATCTTTACTGAAATGTTTTTTGTAAAAATCCAAATAGTGGAGTTATATTTTGGAAGCAGAGACGCCTACCGTAGTAACTAGAGCACTGTTGTTGAACCTCGTAGAAAAATCCATCTTCTGTGCAAGCCCCAAAATTTTGATCGACAGCTCTGCACTTTCTATAACCACCTCCTCCGGCATTCAACGTGAGGTCACGGGTTCTTTACCGGCGCGAGTCGCTCTTGCAGCAGGAAGTGTCACATGCAGAAGCTGGGAAGGGGCTTTTCGTCTATGACTCGCGCGATAAGCACCGCCCTCGAATTCTTTTACGCCCGGTGCCTGAATAGTATAGATGAATCACGTAGAAAACAAACTTGAGGGCGCGATGTGTAAAGGTGGGAAACTGCCCGGTCTCAGTTGAGTTCAGGAAGGTCGCCTGGCGTGGCTTCTAAGGGAGTGCAACAAATAATTGATGACTGACGCCCTCTACGTGTGGCGCATTGGTGCTTCACGAAAAATTATACGTCACAGATACAGAACGCGTGGCGACATATGACATATGGGAAGTTGGCTGGCGGGAGCCGATGGATATGGTGGAGGTACAAGCGCTGATATCGCTCAGCATCACGCGTGCAGTATACAATATCATGTATCAACCACATCATAGTTCTTGTCGCCTGTTCAAATTTATAGTCACATGGGGCCGGGCCGAACCAATTCAACGAAAATCCGAGTTATTCAGAGGACGAGGGAAAAAGTAATAAAACGGAATTGAACTTGCCAAACATATGGTTAATGGAGTTTTTAAATTAGTATCAGCGCAATTGCATCTAAAAACAGAATGTAATGTACAGAACACATACATGTGTAAACACACATATGTACACAACATATGTGTCCCTGTCAATAATGTAGTCGGTGGCCCCAAAAAATCTCAGGATGTCGCCAGGGCCATTTCCTCTCTTCCCCTCTGCGGGTGGTTCGTTTCTGAAGGCGAGGAGAAGGGAAGGAGAGGGTTGGAAGCCGGGGCGAGGGCAATGAACTCTCCCGCTGGCAAGTGATTCCGAGATAAACCCTCGGAGAATAGCGATTTACCGTCTGTCTAACCAAACTGCCTGTCATACTTTTTCCCAAAACCTGGTCCGGATTAACGAGGTCAAAATGCACGAGCGAAGTGGCGATGGCGGGGCGCCGGCAGTCGGAGGGCGCGGAGTCGGTGGGCAGCGGGCTACCGGCGCCGGAGCCGGAGACGGCGGTGGAGGTGGAGGTGGCGGCGCCCGCGAACAGCCCGAGCTCCTTCTCCTCCTCCCCCTCCGACGGCGGGGCGGGGGCCGCTTGCTGGAGCTGGGGCGGCTGCTACAGCGAGGGCGGCGCATGCTCGCCGGCCAGCCAAGGTATTTTTTATGCCGACCTTAATTATAACAGTAGTAAACAGGCCTTTTGCGGATCTTGCACGCAACCAATCCTCACAAATGAGGTCACTAAAGAAAGAGAATTTCACGGAGATGTGACAAATTGCACTTTGACTGTAAAAAATAGAAGGATTTGTTAAAAAAAAAAAAAGCATTTAAATATTCATGACAAATGCAACCCGCAACACTAGTGGAGAAGTTAGTTTTCAATAACTCCTAAACGAAGCGTTCTATGGCTTTAAAATATTAACTTTTGAGGCTGGGGGCCTAAAGAAAACGTTCCTTACTTAATTCTTGACAGAGTGAGATTTTTCTGGACATTCTAATACATATTGTTAATTCGGCTGTTCTCGATGGTACCACAGCACACTTATACAATGGCCCAGGTCCGTGGCAAATGCTCCTACGACAATGTTTTGATCAGCGACTCATAACGACAGAAAAATATTTAGAAGTTTGAACTGCGATTTACGAAGATGATTGTATATGTTGGCCACTATTGAGTTTTAAATAACCATGTAACGTTTTTGGTTTCAAATCAGAAATCCATTTTTGTCTCCTATGTTCCGAGGATGCTATATCTTAACATTTCTGATTCTGTGAACAATAGGAATCTAATAAAGCTTACTCTTTCTCTCCCAACCCTTTTGCTCCCAGTTCTCTACCACACACACCTAGCTTATCGTGGAAATAAAACTTCATTTTAGAGAATAAAAAACACCTAACTCGAAGAAAGGCACTTTTGCACCTACACAAAACAAAAACGGTTTTAAAATCATTGTAGTCAGAGGAAAATCTCCAATGGAAAATCATGTCTACGTAGTAAAAGAAAATTAACACATATTCCGTGCCCACCTGGATGGCTGCGGTGGTTAAGAGCGAGTACCGCCACAGCGCTTCCGTCCGAAGTCTCTCGGGTTCGAGCCCCACCTTGGGCATGTATGTTTATCCCTTGCCTCTCATGTACGTGTTGTCGCGGAGGGCTTCGCGTTCTGCTCACCCCAGATCAGAGGAGCCCACGAGTGAGTTGGTGGCTAGTGTAGGTCGAATATGCGACCCATCGGGGCGTGGAGGGCCCCCGGCTGTCGGCCGGCAGAAGCCCTTTCAAAGGCCCGTGTGTTGTGTGGGTGCGCACAGCGGAGCAAGGGCGAACGCGGCGCAGGAGTCGCCGTCGCCGCCCACGCGCGCGCCGCTCCGCAGGGCCCGCTGCCACCGCCAGCGCCGCAGCGCCCGCCAGGGGCGTCCCGCAAGCCAGGTCGCGGCGCCGGTGGAGCCCGTGGCGGCTGCCGCGGCTCGGGCGACCACGGCCTGCGCCCCAGCGACGGCGCGCCCACGCCCCCCGCCAGCAGGTGCGCCGCTCACACCCACGCTCCGCGCGCCGCACGTGCCCGATGCACAGAATCTTAGCATCAATCTAAGCATTTCGTCATCCTGCGTAATATCTTGAACATTCTTGTGGAGAGGAAGTGGGAGAAACGAATCATCAAACTCGAAACAAAAAAAACTTCTTCCGATACATTGTCAAATATGTGAAATAGTTTGCGTTTTTAATTAAAGAATTGAAGATTTGCAAAATTCACGTCATGTACAGAACGCCCTTAGGGCATTCAATAATATTCTAGACCACCATGCATCTCACATGATTTGTCTATATTACGCACGTACGCCGTCGTCAAGAAATCTGAGGTTAACCTCTCAATTAAGCTTTCAATGTTTCACTTGGCGACGTTCCTTCTAACGAAAACCGATATATCGGAATTCCTACTTTTTATCAAATCCAAGACAATCCCCAGGGAATACCTAACACAAAACGAGCTCGCATAAACTTTCCCTGGGAAAACTTGTTTTGAACGGGAACTCTTTTGCAGGTTTCCTGGCCTGATTTTTTCGGTTTCAAAAAAATTCGGAAGGCTCTATGAAAAACGTTTTCGAACACAAGTTCGCCTTATATGTATCACACATTAACGTTAAAAAATCCAATAATTATTAAGAGTTAAAGGAACAAAAAAAGGTTAACCACACCATTAATAGTTTTATTATTTTGAAAGATGCTCTGCTGTGCCCAGGAGTAAGGCGGTCGCCCCTCGCGAGAAGCCCCTGTCGCGAGGTGCGCAGCGCGTGGCGTGTGGGGGCGGCGGCGCCGGCGCCGGCGACGAGGAGGGCGTCCGTCCGCTCGCGAAGACGCTGGGCTCCCCCGTGCGCCGGGCGCCGCAGGCGGCGGCGGCGGCGGCGGTGGCGACGGCGGGGGGCGTGGCGGACGCGCGGCCAGACCTCCTCGAGGACTCGGACGCGTCCTCGGACGAGTCCTCGCCGCTCTTCCACGGAGGCCTCTTCCCCACCGGGTACCGACTCCAGTTCACAGCGCTGCGTATAGCACGTGCAGGAGAACTCGAGTTCAAAGAGCACAATTAAGAAAGTTACGAGACATTTTATTAAATGAATTCAAAGTTATGATAACATTCTAATTAAAGGTGTATCTACATTTAGCACAACTCCTGATACGTGACATTACTTATAACTGATTAAATATTGCATATTACATCATAAGTACAACATTAATAATATTCTCTAACTATTGTAAACACTAACATTTTATAATATAGTAAATTGAAACTGATGACATAAACCGCTTGCCCATAAAGTTTACATAAAATAAAATATTTAAAAAAACAAACAAGTTATTTAGAAAATGTTGTGCCAGTTATGACATACGTGACGTCGTTTTGCCGTAAGTGACTCCAGAGCTCCACATGGTCAAGAGGAAACTAGCCTCATTCAGTTTCACAGGAAGCGGGAAACGAACACGCTGTGATTTCCCGATTTCAGGTCGTACGTCAACGGAAGAAGCGACAGTGACAACGCACGCACGTGGTCGCCGATGTCACGAGATTTCGACAGCCCCGACAGCGCTTGCAGGCAGCGCCTGAGCACCAGAGAGGCGATCGCGAGGCTGTCGCGCCAACGGACGTTTGTGCTGGAGAGCGGCGAGAGCCACGACGAGCGCAGGCGCACCCTGGTGTCGTTCCCGTCCAGAGACAGCTTCGTGCGCGACTGGACCGACGAGCTCTCGTCCGACGGACCCGAATGCGACCTCCTGCGCGTGTACATCACGTCGAAACCTTCGGGCGAAACTCGCCCTGACTCGCCTCAAGAAAGCGCAGTGCCCGCAGCGGCTGAGTCACAGAACTTCCAGAACACTCTACTGTGTCAGATGTCTTCAACATTATCGCAAGAAGAGCTGCAAGAGGATGGAGTTTCACAGGAAACTTCCGAGCAAAAGCAGCAACATCAAGCCTTGGGTTCAGAGGGGGAGTCCGAAGGCTCTGTGCAAAGGAACGAGGACTTCGAAAACCAGCCTTCTCATTCGACTGGATTTCCGGTAAACCCTTTTCTTAAATATCAAATTAAAAAAAAACATAATCCAATGCGATCTTAATCTCTGGTAGTAAATAATTTGAGGTCTTAATAATTATTATTCGAAATTCTAGAATTCTTTGCTGTTTTTAAGTAATAAATTCGTGCCTTTTTGTAGAAATATGTGAGTAGAATGTACAAAGTGCGGTCATATTTTAAGGTACAACCACTATCGAATTCTATGCATGTTGTACACGACATACGTTTATACGCCAAAGTAAATTGAGAGTTTATAATATAGTTCGACTATTGTGTCAGCTTTTTTTTTTAAACCTGATCAAAAGTAAGAGACTGCGTTATATCCCACACGTGACTTTTCGTTTAACTGAAAAGCTTGCGGCAACAACAAACAACTGATTTTGCTATTCCAGAAAATGCAACCGATCCCGCAAGTACAGTTACCGCGCCTGTATCTCGCGCTTGCGATTTGCCACGGGATTGTTTCAGTCCGCGACGGCGGCGGGAGGAACAGGTAGAGTCCACGAGCGCGAAACGTAGGGGATGGAAGATGACCCAGCCTTAAACGTGGGCGTGGAGAAAGGATGCTGAAGAAAGAATCGCGTACGGGATCGCAGACCTTCGTTGGAAGAATCGCTCCGACATCCGCCTGAAATCGATCGGGAGAAACTTGGAAACGACCCAGCGTCTAGAAATATCATTCAGGCGGGGCGTCGACCGACCCAGTTATTTGAATGTCAAACATGCGTTTCCGCAAAACTTTGATCTTCTTGTTCTAGAAGCGATGTTCGCTTCATCTTACTCTTCATCATATAAAGTCTTACTTGCACTGTTTATTAATTACATAAACAAACGGGAACAAATCCGACATGAACGGAATACCTTCGTCTCTTCCACAGACGGGATAGAGCTGTCTTTGGCGCAAGTTAACGGTTTTCACGTCCGTCCGGCGCGCGAGCGAAGTGTCGTGGGCTTATCTGCAGGCGTCGTCGGAGACGGCAGCGGCGCCCGGTGTCCACCCCGCCACGGGGGCGCTTGAGA